ATGTTTGACATAGAACTGATTTTCACATACATGGGAGAAAAGTAGCAGAGGCTGAAAAAGGAAGCATTCAGAAGAAAGGGAATAAGTACAGAAAGATCTGGTGTTAACAAGGGGTTGGGAAGAATCTGTGTCCCAATCAGCCAGAGTGCAAAGGCTTCCAAATATAAGAATCAATATTGAATAGTGTTTAGATTCACAGCCGTGGGCAAACTTTTTGACTCGAGGGCCACAATGGGTTCTTAAACTGGACCGGAGGGCCGGAACAAAAGCATGGATGGAGTGTTTGTGTGAACTAATATAAATTCAAAGTAAACATCATTACATAAAAGGGTACGGTCTTTTTTTTTTTTTTAGTTTTATTCATTTCAAACGGGCCGCATTCGGCCTGCAGGCCGTAGTTTGCCCACGGCTGGTTTAGAAGGATATTGCTTCAGTTGTGGGGCTCTGAATATGCCCCATAAAAGCTTTAAAACAAGCCTGAAAAGAAACTCATTCCAACCAACTTAACTGTGTCCCAGAACCAACAGTTAACAGTAAACATGTTTAGGTTTTAGACCATAGAGTCTAGAGATATAGGTATGGGCTTTAACTAGATGCTTCAATTGGTTTTTTAAATAATATATATTTTATTGATTTTTTACAGAGAGGAAGGGAGAGGGATAGAGAGTTAGAAACATCAATGAGAGAGAAGCATCAATCTGCCTCCTGCCTGCAACCAAGTTATATGCCCTTGACCAGAATTGAACCTGTGACCCTTCAGTCCCCAGGCCGACGCTCTACCCAGTGAGCCAAACCAGTCAGGGCTCAATTGCTTTTATTATCATGTAGCTTACAATCAAAGATTTAAAAAGCATGTTAGTCATGTTCCAAAGGCCTGTCTCTAAGTCAAGATCCAGGAGAAATATTTAAAAGTACACTTTGCTTGAGATGTTAGAAAAATGCAGCTAGTTTAGTATAAACCAATGATAGCTTAAGCAATAAAAAAGGTCACAAGATTTGTTTTAAAGAGAACATCACTGATACACAATCATAAGATAATTTGCAGAATCTTGGTTCCTCAGCATGTTTAGATCACCACAGTGACGAAGGCACCAGACAAGATGATGTCAGGAACTGAATTAATCAGAATAGGAAAACCCCTGAAGCTTGTACAGGAATTAACCAATCAACTTCACCCTCAAACCCTAACTCCCAACCCTCAATCTCCTTGATTAAAAACCACTGGGGAGTTTGGGTTTTAAGCAATAGTTTCCCCTTCTCCGGGCTTGGTGCCCTGCCAATAAACTGCTCTAATTTTTTCACAGCAAAACTCAGTATTCAGTGTGAGGCTCTGCTGCACATCACATGGGAGGGGAGGACTCTCTTCAGTTGAGTAACACTAGCACGAAAGTATGGAACCCATGGGAGCCACGGACACAGGGAAAAGATCAACTTGTTGGTAGGCTCTTCCCCATGGAGCTCACCAAGTGCTTGAAAAATTGGCAACAGAGCAAGAAACCTGAAAAAGTCTCTCATGTGCAGGTTTAGAGGAAGGAAACAGAAGCTGCTGTGGAAAAGGCTCAAAGTTGCCCTGATCCTTCTATTCTTTCTCTCCTACAGAAAAAAAAAGGCTTCAAGTCAGCGAGGGACACAACACATGTCACTATCAGGACGTATGTGAAGACCCATGAAAGCTAGAAAAAGGGAATACAAAATAAAACACCTCTACTCCTGGGGAAAAGGCAGGGAAATATCCTGAACCCAAATCATTAGAGAACCTTCACTGGTTCTCATTAGAGAACTTTCACTGGAGAAGAGGCAGGATCCTGAGAAGGCCCTCCCTCACCTTAAGATACAGGTATCCG